CTGCTTTTGTTTTTAATGAAGTAATTTTTGGGATTAAATCGTAATTCCGTAATTCAGTTAGCCGTGACAATCGTTTTGTTGTTGTTTTATTATTTAGTATCATTTACTGGAAGGAACCATTAATTTTAACTTGCCTGGGATATCGCCAACAGCGACCTGAGAGCGTTCGAGTTAAATAAAGTATTAACGTCATGAGAAGTAATGTTCTGAAAGAAAACTATAAACATTAGTCTTGTCAAATCTGGCACGGTGAGATATCTTTTATTTATAGAACTCTGAATGTAGAGAGAGAATGTAAAGATTCCCGTATTTCTAGAAGCAAGTCTTAGGCTTGCCACTGGATTTTTTCTATCGTGATAATTTCTTCGGATATAATCTAATTAAAGTTTCAGCGAATGCTCACTTCTGCAAGCTCGTTTAAAAAAGGCTAACCCAATATACGTAGTAGTAAAGCAAAAAGGATAACAAAATTCCACAGCCAAAAGAACGAACGAAAATAAACTAAGATTAAATACTGGCGCTGTGCTTCCTTTTTTGCTCATTAGCTAGATCGAAATGGAACATTATCATTTCCAACAAACGAGGAGGAATAGTAGAGTTTTTCAACCTTTGAAACGAAACTTCGCCTCAGATTAGAACCATATTGTTTTGCAACCATTCTTACATCCATTGAGATTCAATTGATTGTTTAGTAGGTTACGAGATTCTTTATTTGTTAATTTTTTTTGTTACGTAGAAGTTTCACATGGATATATATATATATATATAAACAAAAGATCTCGTTGAAGGAAGTAGAAAAAGGAAAGAAATTAAAGATTCAAGCTCTATTTCGTAGTCTAAATCTCTTCTATAAAACGTAGGTTTCCGAGTTTATGTAATACTCAAAGAAAATTTATGAATATCATCCGCTGTAAACCAATCAGTTGCATATCATCACGCGGACCTAAGTGAGGACTGCTTAGTTAATAGCCTTTTAAAACTTGATGGACGTGTTTATACAAGTAGTGTCTTAAACCACATAGTAATTTGAAGAAACTAAGAGATTAATACTACAACAATAAGTAAAGTATACAGTTTTTACCCTCTAATATAAATTTCAGCAACCAAAGATGGTTTAAATGATTCGTCTTTTTATTATTATGAAACATGAAAAAACAGAGCGTAAAAATTTTCTGAATATATATATATACTAAATTTGAATATTTTTATACACGAAGAGAGAATATTTATAAACGTAAGACTACACAACAGGCTGTCTACACTGTGTCCACAGCGAGGAATTTAGCCCAGAACTTTTGTAGTATAAGCCCTCAAGCTGAGTCATCAGGAAAGTGATTTCTAGAATGTTATTCATTATTGAGATATACGAAACTTTATATAGTTATTTTCAAGATTACAAAATATATAGGTACTTACTCTTATAGTAGTTTTGGACACAAGGAAAACAACATGCTGATTAAAAATACATTTCTTAACGTTTTTACTGTCATGAACACATAGGAAATTTGTACCACTTCAAACTTTCCAAAGTTTAACAGTTTTGTGTTTCAGATAAGAAATTAAATATTAAATTTTTGTATTTTTATTATGTGGATACGTAAAAATAAATTCGGCACTTCGAGAGGTGTCTATATATAGATGTGATAGTGAAAGAGTTAAGTGGCGGCAGGTGATGCTGGTTGGCTGCCTTCTGTCTGATCGATAGTTCGAAATTAAAACGGTTACACTTAAGTCACACGTGTGAATGAGGTTTAGGTTTAAATGTCCAAGGCCTTTTTCCCATGATTTAGTTAATTGCACTGCCACTTGGCTGGGGTGGGGTGGGGAGTGCACTGCTAGTGTGTATTAACAAGAGAAAAATGTTTTAATTGTAATGTTACAACCTGAATGTGACCCAAATTATATATATTTACTCAAAATATTTTAATCTACAACAGAAATAGAATGTGCTCAAAATATATTGTTGTTGTTTTTTTAGCTACAGAATGAGTCATCATGGCACTGTCTACCATGGGTATCGAACCCCAGATTTTAACGTTGTAGCTCTGCAAACTTACCACCGACCCACCAGGGAAGAGCAAAATGCATACTATAATTTGTTAGTAATGAAGCACAAAAATACACAGTGGGGTATCTATACTCGATACCCGTGGTGGGCAGAGCCCATTTGGTAGCTTTGTACTTAATTACAGACAAACAAAGAGAAACAGCGAAAGGCATACACTATCGAATCCGTTGGTAATTGGAGATAATATATTCATTTAGATATACCTTTTGTTTTTTTATTATCAGTACACAAAGTTTTAGACCTATATTTCGATGGTTACAATTCAGATATATATATTTTTCTCTATTTATTATTTTAGACAACTGATTCTGTATTTATGACAAAAATCGATTGTTATCATGCTTTCTCGAGCAATGAAATAAGTGAATTTTATGTTTGTTTGTTTTTATGGATTTCGCTCAAAGCTACACGAGGGCTATCTGCACTAGCCGTCACTAATTTAGCAGTGTAAGACTAAGGGGAAGGCAGCGAGTCATCACCACCCACCGCCAACTCTTGGGCTACTCTTTTACAAACGAATAATGGGATTGACCGTCACATGTGAGTGACCATGTTTGGTGAGACGAGGATTCGAACCCGCGACCCTCAGATTGCGAGTCAAACGCCCTAACCACCCGGGCCATGCCGGGTCGGTGAATTTTATAATGGTTGTATAAAACTTAAACACGATTTGGTTAATGACGAAGGAGAGAAGAAAACATTATACACGGATTGTCATTTATTACAATTCGCACGACACCCAAAATAAATATATTTACGAATTGAGGGTTGTTCAATATTCAAGCACACTGAATGACGCTTTGTTTTCGAAGTAATTTGTGAAATACATCTGCCTAGATTTTGCGGCTGAATAAAATATACTCTATCTCAAACACTCTTGAACAAAGCATGTTTGAAAAATCACTCGGTTCAATGTACAAATACAGATTCTCTGATGAATAAGTTGACGGAACTCGCCCCCGGTGACTCAAGGACTTGAGGGCTTATAACGCTAAAAATTGGGATTCGATACCAGCAGTGGACACATCTCAGCGAATCATTCTGCACAGTTACACAATGGGCTATCTGTGATGTGCTTTTCGTGAGAATCGAACCCCTAATTTTGGCGATCTAAGTCCCGAAGTTTACCATTGAGCCATCTGGGTGACGTTTTTATGGGGGAAAAATCATATTGGGGTAACTTTGTGATTTATAGATGCCTTCACCGATTTTTGTTGAATAGAATTCCAACATTGGTTCAAAATGCTTCTACATACTAAGTTATAGGTACACCCTACTTCAGAGTATTTATTTAGGGTACATTATAATTGAGATTCCTAATAATGTCTTAGCAACTATTACGTGAGATGGTATCACGTAGTAGCATTTAAAGCCTCACCACAATCTTTACTTCTGTATTAAATGTTCTCATGGGTGAATATATCATTAATAGAGGGATACCCAACACGTGGTTGAGCTTAAACCAATAAGTAAAATTGATTTGTAAAATAAATAAAAGATTGTCTTCATTAATATGTAATTTTAAATTAGTTTTACTTCTAATATACTTATAACGTTTGATCAGAGACATACGCCAGGCGTGGCAGAGTTGGTAGCATACCGAATTGTGGACCCGAGGGACCATGGATCACTTACCTTAAAAATACAACATGGAGTTCCAAATGTAGATGGAGTTAGTGTGTTATAACAGTAGTCGAAGAGTGGGTACTGTTGACTAGCTGCCTTCGTTCTAGTCTGTGTATTAATGACGTGTATGAGCAGATAGGGTTTTCGTAAACTTGTACGAATATCCTAAATAAACACAGTATGAATTCAAAAAGCTTATTTTTCGATGCCAAAGTGAAACGTGTGTGAGCTTTATCAAAAATAGACAAAGGAAGTTTTTATATTTTTACCTGCGGAAGCCATTTCCAATACCTTTTGTGTTATTCCAAATTATTCAACGTTAACAATGCTTTGTTACTTACCTAAAAAGAAATAAGAAAGCGAAAAATAAGTTTGTTTTTAAATACAAAACTGATAACCACAGGGATCAAACCTCGATCTTTAGCGTTATAAGCCCTAAATCTTACCAATTATCCACCGAAAGAGGGGCAGAATAAAAAATAACTGAGGTATTTTTACCGGTTATATTTATTTGTTTATACAATAAGTGTTTTTAAAAGGCTTATAAACGTATTGGATAAATAAACTATCGATAGACAAAAAACGTTGAACACCGATTTATTTGATTTACTATTTACAAGGAGCCACAATTTTATCATCATATATAAATCTTTGGACGCCTTAAGTACTTACAATGAATAGCAACTGACATTTCGCTTTGAACATAATAAAGGCACGAACAGGTAAATTTCTGAAGAACTTAAAAACATCAACGATATAACACGTTTATTTTACATGAAAGCAGACACTGGCATACAGTCAAATAGGGTGCGATACACTTCACAAACGTAAAAGTCAATGATTAAGCATACAAAATTCACCCTTTTACACTTTCCAGATTACGTCTGGTTATATCAACATTCAGGTTAAAAAGACATCCATTATTTGGTTCCTTTATCGCACGCTTAGTACTTCAAAATAAAACATCTGGGAATCAGATGTTCCTTCTCTGATTTCTACTACACATTGCTTAGCACGAGCAAAACAACAATTTAGTTTCAATGGGATTTTACGTTGAAAAAAAGTAGCAACAATTTAGTTTCAATGGGATTTTACGTTGAAAAAAAGTGGCCAGTGGATATAAGTTTGTAAAAAACATTTTGAAAAAAAAAAGGATCACAACTTTTTATATTTATTTCAACGCCATTCAAAAGTTATATTTTTATAATACGCAACGGTTGGTAGGAGAACTATTATTTTTATATCCATAGTATTGAAACGGTCTAATTAATTCGGAATAGTCACATAAAATACTTCTGGAAAGTGCTTGAACTTATCAAATTGTTTATTTTCAAGGTGTTACAAATTTTATAGTATTTCCCTGAAAGTCTACAAACACATTCATTAAGCTTCTCAGAGCAAGGTTTTGATACCTTGTAATTGTCTTTCATTCCGCAACAGAAGAGACGATAAGCGGAAGCACAAGATTTGAGAGAAGCTAGATTGTTTTGTTTTTTTTCCTTCCAAAGATCACACCACATGCGTTCCCAAGGTGCCGACAACACTTCGCGGTGGTAACGGCGGGGTATGCGCGAGGAATTCTCGTGTTCGGCAGTCAACTTCTGGGTTCTCTGACATGATTTGTACATGGGGTCTTCCTAGGGCGGCCCTCTTAGTCACAGGAAATGGTGCGTAGCAGGTGTCCGAGCGTGGAGTAACAGCATTCTCATCAGGAGTACATTCATCATCTAGAGAACCCCTCGGCCATTCCTACATCCATGATCAGAAAACAAAACTGTATCGTATTTGATTCCACAGCGACAACCGCCACCATGTTATGTACTTCCCGTTTAAATACCCTACATCCATGATCAGAAAACAAAACTGTATCGTATTTGATTCCACAGCGACAACCGCCACCATGTTATGTACTTCCCGTTTAAATACCCTACATCCATGATCAGAAAATAAAACTGTATCGTATTTGATTCCACAACGACAACCGCCCCCATGTTATGTACTTCCCGTTTAAATACCCTACATCCATGATCAGAAAACAAAACTGTATCGTATTTGATTCCACAGCGACAACCGCCACCATGTTATGAGCTTTCCGTTTAAATACTCGAAAAAAGGAGATGAGGGCTATTTATTGTATTATGTACCATTAATAAGAAAGTTGATATGATAAAGTTCATGAGATTTGCGCATGATCCAAAGGATTAAGCTCTTCTGTAGAAAATCACTGGAAATGTAAGAATGATTTAATTTTAAAATGTATAGTTAGAATGTAACAGATATTCAAACTAGTGCCAAAAACAGTTTCAGTTCTAAAGTATCAACACCAACTAAACCACTAGCAAGGGAATATCAAAACACAGTTTCAGTTCTAAAGTATTAACACCAACTAAACCACAAGCAAGGAAATATCAAAACACAGTTTCAGTTCTAAAGTATCAACACCAACTAAACCACTAACAAGGGAATATCAAAAGAGAATGTCAGATTCTAATATATTAAAACTATTTAAATATCCGGAAAAGAAATATCAAAGCATAGTTTCAATTTCGATAGAATTTCTAAACATCTCTATAAAAGTGAGTGTCAGCAAAGTAGTTGTTCTAACACATTTAAAACCTGTATAGAAAATCCAGGTCAGTGAAGCATTCTAACCTATTCAGTAGTTAAGATAAGCATTTAAGGACATTTAATGATTCTTGATTTTATAGAGCAATTCAGTTGTATCGTTTATACAGTGGAGAGATTCTTGAGATTCAGTTGCATCGTGTATACAGTGACAAATTCTTGAGATTCAGTTCTATCGTGTATACAGTGAAAAGATTCTTGACATTCAGTTGTATCGTTTATACAGTGGAGAGATTCTTGAGATTCAGTTGTATCGTGTATACAGTGGAGAGATTATTGACATTCAGTTGCATCGTGTATACAGTGGATAGATTCTTGACATTCAGTTGTATCGTGTATACAGTGGATAGATTCTTGACATTCAGTTGTATCGTGTATACAGTGGAGAGATTCTTGACATTCAGTTGTATCGTGTATACAGTGGAGAAACGATTCTTGACATTCAGTTGTATCGTGTATACAGTGGAGAGATTCTTGACATTCAGTTGTATCGTGTATACAGTGGAGAGATTCTTGACATTCAGTTGTATCGTGTATACAGTGAAAAGATTATTGACATTCAGTTGTATCGTGTATTTAGTGAAACGATTCTTGACATTCAGTTGTATCGTGTATATAGTGAAACGATTCTTGACATTCAGTTGTATCGTGTATATAGTGAAACGATTCTTGACATTTCACCATATTCCTTTGTGAGGAAAGTGATTTCTCCGATATGAGGTGAAACACGCTGTTTGCTCAGCAGCAAATAATCAACCTTTCTAAGTTTTGTGTCTCTATGACAAAGCTTTTCATGGCTGCTTGGAGTTCTCGTATTTCAAGTGTCTTTTCTCTTTCGGTTGAAGATGATAACCATCTATCAATCAGATATACTTGACACACACAATATAGAATGCTCTCTAAGATAAAGAGATCCTAAGCATCCACACGCTTATCGAGTCACCAACACGACCCGAACATACGACTTAAAATACAGCCTCGCGTTCTCTCAACGGTCAAATTGGAACCAACTCAAATAATACACAGTTGATTCTTAATATCAAGAAACGTTAGACTTGTGTAGCAGAATGAAAAGTTAGGTTTGTCTTCTAGTTGAGGTCAAAAATAAGCTTAAATAAAGCGCTAAAAGCATGGTGACACAAGACTGAGACAGAAAGACAAGTAATAAAAATGAAAAATCATAGAGCGGATCGTAAAATCTTGCGAGGAAATAATGTAATCACGAAAGATTAGTGACTGTATTGTTCAGACAATGAAAGATACCAGAAATTACTTCGTGACTGTATTGTTCAGACAATGAAAGATACCAGAAATTACTTCGTGACTGTATTGTTCAGACAATAAAGATATCAGAAACTTACTTCGTGACTGTATTGTTCAGACAATGAAAGAAACCAAAAATTACTTCGTGACTGTATTGTTCAGACAATGAAAGATACCAGAAATTACTTTGTGACTGTATTGTTCAGACAATGAAAGATACCAGAAATTACTTCGTGTCTGTATTGTTCAGACAATGAAATATACCAGAAAATACTTCGTGACTATATTGTTCAGACAATAAAAGATACCAGAAATTACTTCGTGACTGTATTGTTCAGACAATGAAGATACCATAAATTACTTTGTGACTGTATTGTTCAGACAATGAAAGATACCAGAAATTACTTCGTGACTGTATTGTTCAGACAATGAAATTACTTCGTGATTGTATTGTTTAGACAATGAAAGAAACCAAAAATTACTTCGTGACTGTATTGTTCAGACAATGAAAGATACCAGAAATGTTTTCAGAGTGCAAAAGCTGTTCAATATTTATTCAAAAAATTATCAGGATGGTGAGGCTTAAATGTTTCTAAAAGCCAAATTAAAACTAAAACCTTTCCAACTTATTCAAAAGAAGCTTAAAAAACAATCAGTTATCTTTTTTTTTCTGTCTTTTGGAAATCTATGACAAAAGTATAGCGGAGCAAATGAAAACTATAATTTCCAGTTTATTAAAAAGGTTTAAAGAATTATTAAGCATCTTTTTTGTTATTATTTTGTCTGTGAAAGCTTAGGACAAGAATCGTAAACGAAGATTTCCCAGTTAATTTAAAAGAACTCTGAACAGTCTTTAGTTATATTTTTTGTTTTGTCTATGGGAGCAGCTAAGGACATCAAGAAAACAAAATACACGCAAACGAAACCGAGTTTCAAATTTATTGAACGGTTAATTAACGACCAAATACCTTTTTGTAAGTCCTCCGAGTTTTTAAAATGTCCGGGCACTCATCTTCTTTATCTATTGTCGTTCTTACTTCTACAGGATGAAGAATATTAACAAACGGTTGTTAGTAGAAAAGTAGGGTAAATCTAATACATTATTGATAGTTACTCTAAATGAAGAGAAATTGTTTCATTGAAGGTAGGTTTAAGCAGTATGGTCGGGCTTCACGTTCTGTCCAGAGAGTTGTTTTCTCGTTTTATGTTATTTATACTACTGTGAAGCGCGGTCCTGTTAGAGGAATCCTTAGTTTATTGGCTTGTGAATGCACCCATTGATTTCTTACACAAACAATTTTCTCTGCCTACAATTTAAGAAAGACCTAAAGTATTACTACAAAATATTATAAAAAAACGCCATTTTTTTTTGCTGCAGGAATTGAGGGAAAACTAATTTTAAAAGGATAAACAAGTATAATTTTCATTTAAGTTTATTTTGTTTTTAAAGTATACAAATGTATAAAAGGTTACTTTACATAAATATTTCATATAATATTTTAAATATTATACTTTTTATAGAAGTTTATTTTAATTTATATATATAATTCTATTGAAATTATGTTTTAAAATTTTAAATGCTTATTTATCTTTAGGCCACTTATAATAATCATTGAATGATAGAGGTGATAAAAGTACGTGTAAATTACAAATATAACAGAAATATATATTATCTTATTATTAAACTAACATGATCTGAGTTTAAAAGCTGTAAAACTAATATAGAAAGATATATGGGCGGAGAGGCATCTTGCCTGATACACCTTGATTGGTAGAAGTCAGAAATCCACCGTTCGTCTTCGATTGTAACTACTGTGTTGCTAATCCCATTTCTTAAGTTGTTTGTAGATGGTCCCAAATTCTGCTAGAATCTAATCTTTATTCTCGGTCTTTCAATTTTATTCCTAGAGTTTCTATTGTTGTTTCTCGCCAAATATTTGATGTCAGTCTTATATCCTATGTTGTAACAGTGTTCGGTAAAGACTGCTTTTTCTACGTACACGAGTCATGTTTTATCTGCATACTTGTTGGATATTTCTACGTATTTTACCAAAGCAAGATTTTTTACAGCTGTAGGGAATACTGTACACCGCACGTTTTTTTCTGTTTTTTTTTTTTGGTGGGGGAGGGATGTTTAACAAATAATATGCCTTTCAGATTTTTTCTAGTTTTTGAATGTTACTATGATTTAAAATTGTTTGTAGATTTTGGTACAAACGGATAAAAGATGGTAAATTTTCGTTCTTCCCGCACTGTCTGAGTTAACGTTTTTTTTTTTTCTTGCAGTGATTTTTCAATCACTAGTGTCACCAACAAACACATAGTATTACACTATTTCTAAAAGAGAAACAATTTAAAGGCAGAGTTTGTTCAAAAGGTTGTTCAGACAAATACTTTCTTATATCATATAAACAACATTATTCTGTTGAATCCTAAAAACTCCCGTTCTCTTTAATGTATTCATAATTATTACTGGTAGTGTGGAAAATAATGATTCATAACACATAAACACGTTCTTTGTAATCTAAAGATTTAAATTGGTGAACCACCATGTTGTATACTGAAATTAGTACGCATACTATAGACATAATTCACTGACAGATATCACACTCATGTTCTTTACACGTAGAAAATTAGTACTAAAGCACAAACCTTGTTGTAAGTGAGCTTCCGGTTCCGGTAAAACTGGACTCTTCTGGCGGATTTTCTTATTTTCATCTGCTTTTGTCTGTATGATTAAAATGATCAGTTTAGACTTTTTATATATTTTTTTTCATATAATTCAAAACAACTATCACCAAACTATAATAATCTTTCTTTGCTAAATGTTGAGTACATTTTTATTTTTTTCTTGCAATTTAATTTAATCTGACTAAACCTTTTTCTAACGCATAACTTAATTAATAGATGCGTTAAAAAAATTTAATATAGCCACCTTATTCAATTATTATTCGAGTATTAAAAAAAAAAAGAGTTCACAAGTTCTCATGAGTGAAAGAATCGGTGAAACTAAGACATTTCTCATTTATAGCAACTTAAGTAATACATCATAAAAGCTTCTTTTTGCTACAAAGAGCTCGCAAGAAGGCGAAGAATGAATATATATGCCCTTAATAGAATTAGCGAATATGTTCCAAAAATATGTTTGTGTTGTCGATGTTTTACATATTGTTGACCCCTAAACAACGAGTGGTGTAATGAATGTTTAACGCTAGAAACCGGGTTTCGATACCTGTGGTGGGTAGAGCACAGATAGCTCATTGTGTAGATTTGTGCTTATTAGCAAACAAACAGATAAAAAAATTCATGTTTTAACTTTAACCCCTCCCCTTAATGGCTCTGCGATAATTCTGAAAGTTTATAACGCATAAACTTGGTTTTGATACTCGCGGTGGGCACAGCACAGATACTACATTGCGAGGCTTTCTGCTTAGCAACAAAACAAACAAACAAGTACCACTATATATATATATATATATTGTGACTCGGGAAAATCCGACGAACTTTAATATTAAGCGAAAGGAACTCGTCGTACGATAAACACAATAAAGTAAAAACGATACTCGTATACATAGTATTTTTCCTCCCAATTCCGTTATGGGCCAATAAGAAATAAGATAGTATAAATTATCTTTTCCTCCCAATTCCGTAATGGGCCAATAATAAATAAGATGGTATAAATTATCTTTTCCTCCCAATTCCGTAATGGGCCAATAATAAATAAGATGGTATAAATTATCTTTTCCTCCCAATTCCGTAATGGGCCAATAATAAATAAGTGGTATAAATTATCTTTTCCTCCAATTCCGTAATGGGCCAATAAGAAATAAGATGGTATAAAT